GCAAAGCCATCGGGCCAGATGGTGAACCTCGGCAGCCTGTGACTATCTCGTTTCTGTAGAGTATTTAATGAAGTGGAAAGATGTTCACAGTATATCATCAAGTAAGAAAACTGTTTATATACTCACTATAAGCTCAATATTTAAAAACTTGTTTGTGTATTTAGACAAGAAAATGCCAACACATTGGTCGATGGTGGCTATCTGTCCGTGTGTGGTATGGTGCACATGGTTAAGTTCTTTATGCTTTTTGGTATGTATCTAATTTTTTAAAATAAATATGGATCCTGTTGATCATCAGCAGAAATAATAAAAGTATTAGAAAATTAAATTTGTTGAGTGATATCACGATCAAATATTTCTGTTCACTTTAATGGCTGGAAGGTTCTTTGCCGACCTCTGTCCTTGCCTGTGAAGGCTGAGCTCCGTGGGGCGGGGGCGGGGAGGAGGGTCTGCACCTGGGGTGACCACCTCTCAGGTGGCTGCCATGGGGCCTCTTTCCTGCTGGTGTGGGACCCGCCTGGCCTCCACAGTTGGTATGAAGATTATTGTTTAAGGTAAAGACATTTGAGATTTCACAGATGCAGCAAGCAGCCTCCTCAGAGCTTCCCTTATCTGATGGAATCAGCGGCTTCGGCTTCATAATTCCTCCTGCAGGAGCTCGGCTCCCGTGGGTCTCAGTGAGACCCACCCACCCTTCTCCGGGAGGAAAAAAGCCCCCACGCAGCCAGACCACTCAGCTCCTAAACCCAAACTTTACACAGGCTTTCTCACCTTCCATTTGTTCTAACACCCAGTTGTGTGTCCTACAGAAACCTATTTGCCTTCCCATAGGAGCCTTCTCTCCCCTCCATTTCCCCCACTAAGTAAACAGTAAAACCTCGCTCTACTGGGCTAACTCAGCCTACGGGTGTCCCTTAAAGCCAAAAGCCCAATGAAGTAGGTTTGCCAAAGGCATATGCTAAAAAGTCATCAAATTAGTTAGTTTGCCTGTGTTTTACTCATGTAGACATGTTTGTGTGGTTAAAATTCAGTATGTATGAAAAGTTCAATTTCACAGAGAAGTTTCCTATATGTGTTACTGTCGTTTTAAATGTATACCGAACAGGCCTAGTAAATGCGTGCATTCACTGGTCACCCGAATAAACAGCAGGCGACTGAGCGCTGGGCGTGGCTCGGTGCACGTGGGAACCTCCTGCGCAGTTGAAACCGCTGCAGCAGGTCACACGCACTCCATGGGATCACGTGCTGATCATTCGCCAAACGCTATTTATGGGCGGTGACTCTGGGATTTAAATATGTAGATATAGTTGTGGATATGTAATAATTACTTATGTCGGTGAAATTACTGTAGTGTCTTTTCCAACATATGGCCTATTCGGTAAAATTTGTTAAAAATAATAGTGAATTAATAACAAAAACAAGTTGTTAATTGGATTATAAGCAAATCTTGGTTAAAGGCATTTTAAAATTAACAGGGTGTTAATTTTCACATATGATACATGGACCGGGAATTCTGTCCGTTAAATCTGAAGTCCATCAAATCATTGTCTGCAAAATGAGGGTTTATGGTAGAGGCCTTTAACTTTAACAAGCCAGCTGTGGCTTTGATTGGCCCCGTGTGCACACCAGTAAGTCTTTTCTACTGTTCATCTGTCCTTGGTCAGGCCCGTCACTGAATCAAACAGGGCAGAGGTAGTATTTTCCCTCTCCTACATAGTACCGAGTATCTCCTCCCGCCTCCTCAGATCTAAGACGAGGTTTGCTTAAGTGGATAAGCGGACACAGAATTAACATTTTCAATAGTTAAGCAT